TAATCTGCTAGACCGATGTTGCAAATATAAATATATCTGCAGGAGTCAAATAAGTAACTTAACTAAATGAGGTGAATTTTGTCAGGGAGATAATGAAAGATCTGTGGTGAGCTGAAGGGTCACCACTGCTAAAGGGCGGCCATTGCTCTCTGCTTTCCCAACCAAAATCACTTCAGACTTTGAACCCAGGATTGTCGGTTTCCCTCATGTTTTTCAAGAGAGAATAAATATGGGCGCCTGGGTGGCTCAGTTGGTTAAGCGACTGCCTTCGGCTCAGGTCATGATCCTGGAGTCCCGGGATCGAGTCCCGCATCGCGCTCCCTGCTTGGCGGGGAGCCTGCTTCTCCCTCTGACCCTCCTCCCTCTCATGCTCTCTGTCTCTCATTCTCTCTCTCGCAAATAAATAAATAAAATCTTTAAAAAAAAAAAAAGAGAGAATAAATATATGGATCTTGATGTAAAATTTCCTGATTTTTAAAATATAGTATGGTTTAAAGAAGCTTTTTTCAGAATAAATTCAGTTACAGAGTTACCAGTATGTGGCCTCTGCTGTAGAAAAAGGAGGACCTTCAAGGGTCTTGGACTAAGGAAGAAGCATTAGAAAAATGGTATTTCATAAGGATTAGCTGTTTGTTTTGTGGTCTTATACATTTTTTTTTATTTGCAATCTCCCAAATATTGCCTTATAAGAGAATATTTATAAAAACAGAAGCAATCTGGTCCTAAGTAGCAACAAAGTTGCAATAGTTGAATTAGGCAATATGCAGTTGTACTATCCATAGATGGCCACAGAAATCTCTCTCACATCACATGTTCTGCAATGTGAATTTGGCACACCTCCATCAAGAATTAGAGTTCAATTCTCCTCTTATTGAACTGAGCTGATCTTAGTAACTCACTTGTCACAGGACAATGCAGTGGAAATGATGCTTTGTGACCCCCCAAAACTAGGTCAGAAGAAGCCTTGCAGCTTCTGCCTTGTTCATTTGAGATGCTCACTTTCCAGACACTTCCTCCCAGGATGTGTGAAGCTCCCTCTCATATCTCCTTCCCTCTTGCAACCCAGTCCTTGCTGGGTTGGGGGGGCGGGTGGCGGCTTAAGTCACTTGGAGAGGCTACATATTGGAAGTCTCCACCAAGCCCAGCCTGCAAGTTATCCCAGAACAGGTGCCAAATATATAAGTGGAATGGTCTCTCTAGATGATTCAAGCCACCAAATATTTAAGTCCTCTCCAGTCCTTCAAGTCCTCTCAGAAGAAGCCTCAGATACCATGAAGCACTGCCTTGAATGAATTCCACAAAATCCATGAGCCTAATAAAATGTTTGATGCCATTAAAATTTGGGGTGGTTTGTTTGCAGCAACAAGATTATCAGAACATGCATAAACTATAAACTACGTGAGTCACAAACAACAGTGTACGTAGGAATGCACCATTCAACATAAACATTCAGACTCCAACTGCCCCTCAAATGCAGATGTGGGGAAGAAATGAGATCAGGTAAAAAAGCAATTATTTCTAATCAGGTTTTAGGTGATTCTAATGAAGATACTCCTGACCATACTCAGGTAACTATAATCCTAGGAAGAACTCCCCTAAAGAACTGAAGGGAGACTCATTTGTCCAAAACACTAGGATGCTGAGTGTTCTCATCACTCGATTCAGAAAGCCCTCCTTGGAAGCAAGAGGCCCGCTCACAGGAGCCTTTGCTCAGGGAGTTTAGTCCCACATGATAAGCAGGTGTTCAGGTGTGCAATAGGGCTTCTCTCTGTCACTCCTCACGTGAGCCAGTCTAACCAGAGTTAAATTACATGGTCTTGGGAAACAATATTTAAATTAGATGGTGGTCCCTGAAAATTAAACAGAATAGTAAATACATTTGTGACTTTATATATTTGCCATCCTGAAAGTGAGGGTATCAAGCCAAAAAAGAAAGAGAATTAATAAGGTCTGGAAGAATCAAGCCAGAATATTTATATGCTTTCTCTGAAGAGGCTGGCCAAGTAATAATATTGACTAGAATTCAGGAAAGAAGGTTTCAAACCAATGGCAATTCAAATGTGAAACTGGAAGGCCCTAATAACATCCCTCCTATAATAGGATTTTTGATAATGAATCTCATCAAAATCATATGTAAGGAGTATTTATTTTTAAAATAATTTGAAAGCAGTGTGGGTGAAATTAATATTCCCTTCAGTACTAACCATGTTTCTTGTTCTAACAGGCCAATTATTATTATTATTTTTATTTTTATTTTTTTTTGCCTATTTTCTGTTTTATGGAATAGTCTGTCATAGTCACACTGTTTGAAAAATCTCTAAATATGTTTTGTTTCCTTTTTACTATTTTTAAAAAAATTTTGCTTTGCTTTTATTCTTTGTACTTTCTGACATAAAATATAAAAACCTTGTTCGTGATACTACCTTTACTTATATCAAAACTTGATCTTAGGTAAACTCCAATTCACAGATTTTAAAGTTTGTTCTTTTCCGGCTTAATTTAGTTTCTTCATAAAACTAAGGCCAAAATCAATTTTAAAATTTTAAAATTGATTTTTATTTACTCTAATGAATATTATGAATATTCTGCCTATTTATGATGCTGAAACTACAATGAATGTGAATTACAGATTCATTTTCCTCGATACCTCAGCTACGCCAGGGCTTTAGTCGTAAGATCCTGAGCACTAATTTATCCTGCATTTACTTTACAGATGCAGTCTCTTTTAGCAGCACAGATGAAGGTTTCGATAAAGCTCTTCTTAGAAGAAGGAAATCGGCTAGATAAACTAAAAATATTATGCTTCTGGCACTCAACGTATTCTGATAAATTTTGTCTTAACTGACATAACACAGTCATATTATTGAGCTACGTGAATATCTTTATGATTCAAACACCAGGAAAAATCCTTGCTAAACATAACCCATGGATGTTTCTTTCATTGGGCCCCAATACTCTTTAGGCCTGAAATGCTGTTGATATGTGTCATGCACAAATACCATTTTGAAATTGAGAGAAATGGCTTTTTTTTGTTGTTTTTTCTTGGAGTTTGTAACAGATTCCTTAGGAGTTAGTGCCACTCCTACCATTTAATTCCCTGTATATTTTCTTCTATTTTTATTGAGGCTGTCTTTAAAATTTCATCATACATGTTCAATAAAATAATGGGCTCTGGCTATGGCAATGAGGCACCTTCCGGTTTTCCTCTCCCTAAACTTGACAGACTGCCTATCCTCAGACACAGTAAACCTCTCTTAAGTAATTATGCAATTAACAGTTGAAAAGTAGTGTTTAAAAATGAGAAAGAAATATTATGGGTTGATGGGTAGGGCACTAATTGCCTAGAAATACTCTGAGCTTTCCAAGTGAAGCTCCTTCACCCATAAAATTCAAGTCCACAACCTGTGGCCCTCCCTCCCCCGCTGAATTTCTCCCTTCAGTTTACAGTGGCACGGCTGGCTGTGGTGTCGGGCCATCAGCTCTTCCTCGCACAGCACGAATCCCTAGGAAACGTCCTGTGACTGCTGCTACGGTTGAAATGTCAGCTGAAATTTTAGACACACACACACACACACACACTCACACACACGCACACACACACGAATACACGATAGCTCAAGATTCAGAAGTAACCAAAGCTGAGAAGGTTTCTGTAAAGGCTTGCTTTTTTCTTCTCTGATAAAGAGCACATCACTAATCAGAAATACCCCACCATAAGCCAAGATTTTTTTGGCTATGATAGAATTACCTGCCTATGACTCCTAAATTAAAAAAAAAAAAAAAAAAATCAGAGAAAGGCAGTTTTAGCAGATTGAATTTTTGAAGAAACTTATGACAAAATTTATAACTAAAAATAATCTATAGTACAATGATAACTTCTTGATCCATCGATCAATATACAATAATCTAAAAATCACATGTGTTTATTAAAGGGACAGAGGATGGATTATGTAGATGAATGTTTGACTAATCTATAGAAAGTGTGAATGAACATAGCTGGCATCCATAAGGTAAAGATACAGTCCAATCAAACCATGATCTTATTAAGACATTTCCCATGTTGTGATTAAAAGAAAATATCTGAATCCCAAAATGTTTCACTATTAAAAAATTCAGTTAAAAATTATTCCCGCAAATGTTACATCATCTTGAATAAAATTGAAATATTTCAAAATAAATTATTTTCATAAATAATTACTTAGTAAATCTAAGGGCACTCTTAAATAAAAGGTAAAATCTGGACAGAATATATAATCAAATCACTAAACTCATGATAAATATGCATGATAATTCCCTTTGTCCCAAGATACTAAAAAATGTCTTTAATTAAAAACTAGAAACTCTTAAATAATCAATAACTAACATAATCAATTATTTCTTGTTCCAGTAACATTAGAGGGAGAATACCAAGCAGATCAACTTTTTATGCTGTTGTTCATCTTTGTGAACTCTGAAGACTTTTTGTTTTATTCATTACCTTCCCCAAGTTAAATAATTTTAATTTTGAAGTCATTTATCATTAATAAATTTTTCTACACCTAGCTGCTAATTTTCTCTTCTTGGGAATTTTTAAATTATGAAATGATACAATTTTGTATTAATAATCAAGGTTACTCTTCTATATTTTTAGGGAAAACAAATGCTTTAACAACTGTTAATATATTGATGCTATTTAGAGAATTTTTCTATGTGCTGATTTTTAATACATTTAAAAAAATTCTTATAGACATCAAAGACTTCCAAATATTATTGGCAATTAATTATTTGCTTCCACAGTCAACCTAATTAGATTTGACTTCCTTTCTATATGTCTGTACGTATCTAGGCACACCTGGACACACTATTAATAACATATACTTCCTATTCTAGTTGTCTTTCCTTTTTAAAGTAGACCACAATGCCCTGCTTATTTTAATAGGGAAAGATGTAAATTTTTCTTACCTACCCTTTAAACTACTTTCAGAAAATGTGAAGTCAGCTGAACTGAATTTAGCAATTACCTTTTAGCTGACAGAATCTTCTGATGTGGGAACCATTCTCAGGCTTGCAGGGTTCCGGCCAGATTGTGTCATTCATTGTTTTTCTTTCTAAAATAAGGCAGAAGATTGGTTAGCAGAATTCACAGTAACATCTGTCCAGTAACTGTAAGAAATTTGAAATCAAAACAAGATCAGCACACAGTTGTAACTTGGTTAAGTGACAGGAGAGCTCTGTGGTCCATCCTGGAGAGTTCTACTGCCTGACAGACAATCCCAAGTGTCCTGAGGGCCCCCATTTATTTCCATAAACTACATAAGCACCCAAGCATATGTGGTAGGATGCTACTATTGAAATACCTGTTGATGGTTTGTGATTACATTATTCTTGGAAGGATTTTTTCCTGAATTAACATTTATGTTTTTATGCTTAGTTCAAGTGTCCCCACCCTCCACATTCCTCATCATTTGTAACAAAATGATCAAGTGTTGGAGAGAACACTAGCTGTGATGGTTTTAAGAAACTCTCAAGTCTTGAGTGGAAGAACGATGACTTACTTGGTCTTGTCCTCCCACCACCTAGAGCAGGGCCTCGACGTGCGGTGAAGAACTGAACTGTGCTAACATGAAGAATTAGAATCGCTTCTCATCTCCTCACCAAAGATGATCATTCCACATGTCATGTCATCGTACTGATCAAGCAAATGTGAGATAATGCACCCAAAGCATCACATGGAAACAAAGTCAGCACGCCTGTGCTGTTTTTAAAGACACTATTTACTCTCATATTTGACTACAGGAAGGCAGTCGAGCATCAAGAATTATGTTAGGATGGAAATCTCTATAGCCTTGTGTTTACAAATTGCATAGCAGGTTATGAGAATAAATCTAGATGGAAAATAAAATTTTGCCTTACTTCCTTATATTTAAGACTATACATTATTTAAATCAGGGCTAATATTCAAACTATTTCACAACTAGTTGCCCACAGGGCCTTGATTAGTGAGACAGGACACAACTCTGTGGATGCTGCCACCTGAAGAATATCAGACCTGATTAAAATGCAGACACCCTTGGAAGATGCATCCATTGATGATCATCACCTTGGTCTGAATGAGCTTTTCAGATCTACCCAGGAGACTGGTTTTTGAAAAGACAGGGGAAGGAGTTTGAGCATCCAACTCCTAGACTCTACTGGGCAGAAAGGGCACTCACAAGTTTAACAAACCTCATTAAAAATAAATTATTGCCTGGGCGCCTGGGTGGCTCAGTCAGTTAAGCAAGCATCTGCCATCAGCTCAGGTCATGATCTCGGGATCCTGGGATCAAGCCCCACATCGGGCTCCCTGCTCAGTGGGGAGTCTGCTTCTCCCTCTCCCTGTGCCCCTCCCCCCCCAACTTGTGCTCTCTCTCAAATAAATAAATAAAATGTTTTAAAAAATAAAGTATTGCCTGAATAATCCAGATTTTTTTAAGAGATTTTATTTATTTATTTGAGAGAGAGTCAGAGATAGCAACAGAGAGCATGAGTGGGGAGGAGAGGGAGAAGCAGGCTCCCCGCTGAGCAGGAAGCCCGACGCAGGACTCGATCCCAGGACACTGGGATCATGACTCGAGCTGAAGGCAGATGCTCAACCAACTGAGCCACCCAGGCGCCCCTAATCCAGATGTTTTGCCACTGCGACTATTTTATAATTAGTGACACTATATTCTGTAAGAGAAGGAGAGATGTTATCTGTTAGCTTTCTAAAAGTGATTAATAGAATGAGATGTTTACTTCAGAATTAAAATACAAATCAAGCCAATGGCCTTTATTATAACTACGGAAACTGTAATCACAGAAACTACAGAAAAGTTCTGGTTTTTGAAATGCTGTGGAAGAGTCTTTTGTAACACATTTTTTATTTCTTTTTATTCACTCCTAGATTCATATACCTGAAAAGATACGGAAGAGGTCACCTTGACCATGGCCAGCCAAGCTAACATTGGGAAGCCGGAAGATAATCAGCCAATAAACCATCAAAGAGAATTATATTTTTAATGTAAAAGGAAATTATTCTGAATAAATCAACGATTTCTTTGTCTTAGCCATTTATAGTTAGAATGGAACCACCTTCCTTTTTAAAAAATTTCTTCTATAGAATTCAAAGACAACTCAATTTGACTTTCATTAATCAATTATTGTTGCTGTATGGAAGTGGCAGAAGAAAAGAAGTTTTAGAGAAACAGAACAGATTATCTGCATGAGTAATCTTCTAAATTACTAACCAAATCCTTTGTTTTCAGACATAGATCTCTGGATTGACCTAGAAGAATAAAAGAAACAGATATTTAAGTCTACATCTAGTAAATAGTATTTTTCATCAAACAGAAATTAGATTACCTAGACATGCTTGCAATATGTTTGAGAGCAGAAATATATTCTACCTCTAACTAAGGTCTATATATAGCCCTGAATTTTCCTGACCCTAGATGGCAAAGAACAGTTAATATAAGTATAATCTTGGCCTGGAAATTTCCATGCAATTTGCAGAAATTTCCATGCAACATTCATAAAACCCACACACACAAAAAGTGGGCCATTTTTACATGACTGTATCTCAAGATAATCAATATAGTTGATGTGGACAAGCTCTTTTTGAAATAATTCCATTCAATAAATACAGAAAGAATGATTGAATATAATCATGTACAATCCCCAGTGAAATGATAGATCTGGGCAGTAATCAACAATTGCTGTTAAAACTTTTCATTGAAAGGCTGAAGGGCAACTTTGTGCTGGATGGATCAGTCTGATACCATCTGAACCCACTAAGCAAGTTCACAGTCATAAAACTACAGACAACCAGATATATGAGCTTCTAAAGTAATGCAACAGGAAGCCTACAGTCACTGATGACCTACTTTTAAAATATATACACATGTATCAAACTTGAACATTATCAAGCCCTGAGATCTAACTAAAAAATTTACAGGAAACATAGGGGATAGAAGAACATGTTTTTTTAAAAAAATACCACAATGACGCAATCAGCAAAATTCAAAAATATGGAAAATTCCTCAGAACAAACAATCCAGTTTCTTCAACAAATCAATGGAGAAGGACCTATGAATTAAGAGACACGAACTGAATGCATTGCAATGATCCTGTTTGGATCATGATTCAAATTAACTATTAAAAAAAGCCCTTGAGGCTCTCAGAAAAATTTTAACAGTGACTATATATTTGGCCATATTATACAATTTTTCTTATTTTGTTCTAGTGCAGTGTGGCACTGTGGTTATGTTTTTTTTTTTTAAAATACAGTACTTACTGTATAGCAATATATATCAAAAAATGAATTATGTGTCTGGGATCTGCTCTAAAAAAATAGTGAGGGTTGGAGGGCTGGGAAGTCAAATAGGTAGAAATGAAATAAGATTGACTATAGGTTGACACTTGTTCAAGCTTGGTGATGTGAGTTCATCATTATCTCCTCCTTTGTGTATAATTGAAAATTTCCATAATAAAATGTCCAAAACAGAAACAGAGGATAAGACTACACTGACTCGATTGTGTTAATTACATTATGCACTGGGTGAACACACGCGTGTCCTGTACATATAATTAACTTTGTGGTAGCTTGATTGTTTCCCACTATTTATATTCTTGGTAGTCATTAAATTAATGCCAAGTTCACCTTTCCTTAAGTTCAGGGTTGTAAGAAAAAAATCTGTATATATAATTTTTGTCTTTACCATTTTATTTTGTTTTTTTAATTTGTCAATGCAAACACTTAGGACACCTCTTGGCAAAGAGTAAGTGTTCCCAAACAGCTATTTATAGTATTATAAGGTGAGGTAGGTGCAGAACAGCATTGAGATGTTATTCCCTTCAGGGGAGTGGTAGACAAGAGAATTAGGGAACTCGAGAGTCTTCAATTTTATTTTAATTGGTCATAATTAGAAGAGCACATTCACTGATTTTGAAAAATCCTAATTCAGTCAGCATCAGGTACTTTCCCTCTCATCCATTCCCCTTTGCCTCTCCATGTTTTGGTGTCCTCTGATCTATAGAAGCATCAATCATAAGCCAGTAGCTGTCATTTCATTTAAGTATTTTATTTAGAATTCCTTATCTGTGGATGGAATGAACAGCTAATAGGCAGCTCAGTTTTTCCCACTGAGATGAGCCCTGCCAAAAAACCCCTTCTTCACGCCTGTTCAGGCTTAAAATGCCACTGTTGTAGTTTAAATAGTTAACTCTGGCTAAAAGACAACAACCCTTGTCTGCCAGTGCTCTAAGCTGCTAATCATCCAATCACCTACTTCCTATGAGTGTGCTTTATATCCTTACTGGGAGAAAGCTTTGAGCAGGAAAGGAAGGAACATATATGAAAGCACAGAATGCCTCGGGGGCAGGAGAGCAAAGCTGTCCAGAAAGACTCCATCCAGAAAGAATTTCACATATTAATAGTTTGGTCTCAGACCACTCCAGAGTGCAAGGAAGCTATTCCGTATCATCAGCATCCAATCTGGAAATTTCCCCATAAACCAACTTCCGGCCCCTATGTATTTCCTGCTTATTAGTTAAAATCCCATTACCTTATGCAACACGTGTGTGCCACATCTTCCGGCAGCTTGATGTGCTGAATGTAAAACCAAGCCTGACCTAAATAACCCAAATCTCTTTACAAACACATTTTCATTTGGATTAGAAGAACCCTTCAGAAGATTAATAGGTCACTGATAGAAGCATGTTTTCGAGTAGGCTCCCACTTTAATGAGCCTAGTTTGAACACGTTTCTTCTTTGGAAATTTAATTTTCACCTCCCTGTGGACAGAAATGTCACAACACAGGTTTCCTATGCATCAGCATAAACAGATAAATGGTAGCAGAGTAAAACATATCTAGATTTGTACATGACAATTTTTTAAAAAGCGCTTTGACAGGAAAACCACTAAAATATTCCATTCAACATTATAGAACTAACAGAACATAAAGTTTTCAAAGTAAACTTGACTTACGTTCTTTTTGGTTGTGCATTCTCAAAATTAGAAACTTCCTGAAAAATAAAATACAAAATACAAAATAAAATAATACTACTCGAAGAAATCAGAAGAATTCAAGTATGGTTTGTCTTCGAGGATAATCCAAAAGTAGTTCATTTTGCCTTTTCCCAGTAAAATGACTGGTGTTTCCTCCCTGTATTTCAGTACTATGTCATAGAATCTCAGTTCAAGTTTGTTTATTTGTTTCTTTCTTTCTCTTTTTGTCTTTATAACTTTGAGAGATGTAGAGTGCTTCCTTTATTAACCAGGGCTTATACCTTATTCTAAGCCCTGGTCAGTCAATAAGGCAAGTCTTTTAAATAAAAACATGCAATTAAATCCTCATAACCTCAAGTTTCCATTCCCCAGCAACCCACCAACAGAGATACGCACTAGAGTATGCTAATTATATCACATAGTACTTTCCTTTGAGAAAATTTAATCTATCACAATATCCTGAGTATGTTGAAATACACCTGTGATTCATCTGGCCTTTCTCTTCAGAGCAACTGAATGTTGTGTAAAATCCCTTACACTTTTCGGGGAAGACTATGTCGCCACATCTTTCACCATCCTTGAAAGAGCTAAAACTGCTCCCAGGCACCTTTAAGAACCCTTCAGATTTTCTTGTTATCATCCATCTTCTCCTTCATTCAAAACCATTTATGTTTTTGATGTTCAAAGTGCTTTTTGAACATCTACTATATCATAGGCAACAGACCATGTTGTAGAGAGGTTTGATTGGTGTGGTAGGAATTTGTATAGTAAAGAATATTGGAACCAGTATTCCACATAGGGGGAAAACAGAAATGCAAAAGTGGGGAAGAGTAGTGAATGAAAATCAGAAAAAGGAAAATTGGTTTTATTATTCCAATGGCTGATAGTATCCGTCTGAGCACTGCCAAATCCAGGATAACTTGTCCCCTGGAGAGTAACTGAAAAGACTCTTTCTCTAACCCTTATTGTGTTTCTGTCAGGATTTAACTCTCAAGGACAATTTAAATTACCTATTTCAAGCTGCTGAGTAGAGTGTCACTGAAAATTCCAGATGCTGAAACACTCCATCCCTGAACTTGAGGAACAGGTTTTGCCAAGTTAAAATGCCTGGGGATCACCTGAAGGGCAATGTCTAGTAGGAAACAGGTAGGAGTAGGGGTAGATACTTGGGAATCAGGAATCAAACTCTGAGGTGAGGTGGGATATCAACAGACCTTTGAGGAGCTAATGGTCACACTGACCACTCCTTCAATTCTCTATGCTTTGTCATCATGTGTCCTAAAAAATAATCCATCTCTATCCATGATCTTTTTATGAAATTCCCTCAGTGTTGGTCTGGATGGCTCCACACCTCAGCCTGGAAGCCAACTGTGTTCGTTCACCACCATCAGCAATCACACCAGCACTATGAAGGGTCATCAGGAAAGAGGATGGCCATCCATCTTTCTAGTAACACTTTCCTGTCACATATATTTGGAATTTAGCTGGGAAGGAGCAAGTTCCATGTTCACATAATCCATAAAATCTGGGCCAAATATGTCTCAATAATTAGAATCCACTGTTTTGAGTCTAATGAATTGTATGGATTTAGATAAATTTCTTTGGACTGCAAACCTCATAGTCCTCAAAATAGTTTCCACCTGTTTTGACTACAGAGAAAGAGGTGTGTAGTCTAGAGTTAACCAATCCAAAAGGTCGACTTGCAATATGAAAGATGGGATACATTAGATATCTTTTGTATTTTTAATCATGAAAGTCACAATACTTTTGAATTAACTTATTCTATCAGTAATTCATTATTTTGGTTTTTGTTTTACATGGGAAAGTTTATTTTGTGCTGCATGAAAAATGCTACCAAAGAGATTAATTCCAGAGCACTCACACAACTTGTGTGCAACGGAGCTCTAAGTGTTTGAGTCTGGGACAGGGGGTGTATTATTCAAGAACAGTCTCTGCTTCATTTGGGTGAAGCCTTTGAGTAATAAGCTAATACAAGCAGGTATTGAGCCCACGCAGAACTGGTCAAACACGTGGGGCTGCTGATCGTGGTAAGAGGTACAGTTAGCTCTGGGCTGAGGTAAGGAGACATCTGGATTAAGACTGAAGGAATTTCATAAGACCAGGGATAGAGATTGGTTATTTTTAGGGCATATATTGGCACAACATTTTCTAGGGACTATCTACTTTGTTCTGTTTTACTGGAATCCGGGTTATCCAATTTTTACTTATGAATCACTTTGGTTTGGGAATTTTTTGTTGAAGAGTTTTTTTGTAATGGATACATTGAAAAAGATTTTGAGGGGTGCCTAGCTAGCTTAGTAGGAAGAGTATTGATCTCGGGGTTCTAAGTTCGAGCTCTGTGTTGGGTGTGGAGATTACTTAAATAAATAAAACTTTTAAAAAAAAGAAAAAAGAACAAGATTTTGGGTTAAAACTTCTTTTAATCCCTAATAAGATATAAGATGTAATGTAGTTTTCCTTCAGCAACCTGCTTCCTGCAAGATGGCAGAGAGAGTCAAGCACATTAAATGTGTGTCTGAAGTGTGATTATATGGGGGAAGGGGATTACTCAAACAGGGCAACATCTACTTAATTAATAGTACATCTGTTCCCTGGGTGTTGCCTACTTGTAGATTACTATTGAATTGGTTAAGCAATTTTTAGTACTGCTTGTACCAGACTCAAAGCAGCTGCTTTCCTTTCTGACTTCTGCTTACATAAGCAGACTGCTATGTATGTATTCAGAGTTCAGACCCTGTATTCCTAGAGGGGCAAGTCAAGGAAAGACTAGATACAGCTTTATTTTTAGAGCTACATCTGTGTGTGTGTGTGTGTGTGTGTGTATGTGTTACTCTGAACTCCAAAAAGAAGACACCATTTCAGAGAGTCAATGAAATGATTCTGTCTAGTCCATTAATTTGACACTTGCCATAAATACCAGACAAAACTTGCTCCTGTTAGCCTTCATTTCATTATCCCCTAAATCAAGCACCAATCATTAGTCTTACCTTTCATTCACTAGGGAGTTTGTGGCTTAATTTAATTTTTACCCCTGGCAATTGTTAGGAAAATAAAAAATGAAATGTAGGCAAATTATTACAAATGGGCCAGCAGAAACTAAAGAATACGTCCAACATGTGTTATTATTCAAGTAGATGAGAGGAGGCTGTAGGAGTAACATTTTCACATAACTATGCAACAAGGTCGTATTAGGTCAAATGAAAAAAAAATTCAAAATGAAGAAAGAGAAGAAGCCACTTAAGAGAAATTTTGGATACCTAATGCCATATTTCTATTCTCATGCAGTGATTATGGTTGGCTGTCCTTTGGGGTTGAATCTAATATGTGTCTGTTTCTTGCTTTATTGGTTTTTAAATCTTACTTACTTTTTTTTTTACAAAAAATATTTTTTAAAGATTTTATTTATTTATTTGACAGAGAGAGACACAGCAAGAGAGAGAAAGCACAAGCAGGGGGAGTGGGAGAGGGAGAAGCAGGCTTCCCACTGGGCAGGGAGCCCAATGCGGGGCTCGATCCCAGGACCCTGGGATCATGACCTGAGCCGAAGGCAGGCGCTTAATGACTGAGCCACCCAGGCGCCCCTTAAATCTTACTTTCAAATCACAAAGTCAAAAAGGAAAAATGAAGTGAATATGTCAGGGATTGTTGTTGCCTAACTAGTGGAAATGTGAAACGTGTTTCTGCACCAGAGAAAACCGATTGGCAGTAAATGATGGTGTAAATCCCATGGTGGACTTTTAAGACTGTAGAGATCTGACCTCTGATTCGCAGATGAATAAACTGAGATCCCAAATGGTAAATTAACTTGTCTAGAGTCATGCATATAGTGCTCTACTTTGATTAAATGTTAGTCATGCTTTCATTCTAATATTATCTTTTGGAATTGTATAATTCGTTCATTCATACATTCACAGTTTATTCAACAAATATTTATTGAGCATGTACTATGTATCAGACACTGTTTTAGATGCAAAGAAGAATTATAAGTGGTCCTCTCAAATATTCAACCATCAGTGACTGCTGATTTCAGGATCCTGTTGGAGTCTATGATTTTCTTAACTTTGAAGATTAAATGAGCTAGCCTTCATAAAATCCTTACACGATGCCAAACACATTGAAGATACTTATAGATGTTATTTCTCATTAAAGTCATTATTAGTTACATTGAATTCTAATATTGAAGCAAGAGTTGAACATAATACAAATACACACACACATATGTATACACATAACTTCTCATTAAAATAAGTTAACCCAATTTATATTGTCCGACTCATTCTCTTGAGAGAATGAGGATGATTCACTTACATAACTGAAATGGTTTTACTAATATTAAAATACAGCAATTCCAAGAATGCCACATCCAAACTTAATGAGCCTGTTTCCAGACATTTCTTAGGTTCCTGTGCTTCAGTAAAGTTCCCACAGATGTTCAAAAAAGACATGGAAATTAATGGAAGTTCCTTTTTAAAAAAATTCTTAGAGACATCTGGCAAAGATGATTATAATGCTCCAAAGTTAATAAAACAGTTTTGCAATGCACCTAAAGCCACAAGAGAGAGTGTGTACACACACACACACACACACACACACACACAGAGGCATACACATGAGCTATCAGCTCTGTTGTCAAAACAAAGAGGAGGTTGGTGTGACTGAATTACAAACCATCACCCATGGGAAGGAGTCCTACTCCCCAATTTACAGATGAGTAAACCGAGGCACAGAGCAGTCGAGATTCTTGCCTAAGGTCACATAATTAGTATGTGGTAAGACTGGTATTTTATGCCTGATGTCTTAGCCAGGACACAATACTACTTCTATACTTGACTGCACAGCTGCAGAATCTACCTGTCATTTAGATCAGAGATCTCACAAATGAGCACTATTGGCCAGAGGGAGAGTGGCTATAAAAAAGCCGAGGAAATATAATGTTATTTCCCACTACTAAACAAAGAACTCAGAAAGTACACCCTTATCAAAGCACTAATATGAA